GACACAGGCACAGAGACACACAGAAACAGATACATACAGAGACACAGACACAGACACAGAGGGAGAGAGACAGAGAGACAGAGACAGAAATGGAGAGAGAATCTACCAAAGAGTAGGAATGACTTGAGAACCATAAAATAGAAGCTAGACAATGTAGATGACTCTCTAAGATAAGAACCTAGAAAGATGCTCACTCAAGATACTCCCAACTACTTGGTAGTATGGGATTGGAAGTGAATAACCGAATTCTAATTCTGGTCCTAATAGTTGTATAAATTTTTGATTAATTTTTACAGTGAAGTGCATAGTTTTCTCCTCTTATATGTGAGATTTTTTTTTAATTTTATCTAGCACCTGTTGTCATTTTAAGCTTCTTGGATGCTAAATTAAGCTCCCCCAGATCAAAAGAACGTATTAATTAGCTTGAAGGTCATCTTTATTGGATTTCAGCCAATAGAGTGCTAAGGAAGCACAGGGACTGGGATTCATCCTGGGCACCACATGCCCCACCAGCCCTGCCCCTGGGCACACTGAGCCAATAACCAAGTCTCCTCTCTCCTCTCTTTCCCCCTCTCCTCTCTCCTCTCTCCCTCTCCCTCTCTTTCTCTTCTTTCCCTCTCTGAATGGAATTCCTAAATGATCATACTTTGAATAGCACCACAGAATTTCAACCATCTACTTTATATTGGGCTAGTAGTAAGGCAATTTTTAATCAGTTAATCAGTTAATTTAAATCGGAAGGTTTGTGTATTGTTTACTCTTTTTATAACTGCCTTGAAAATAGTTTCTTAAAATCCTGAATTGCATTGCTTAATTTAGTGGCAATAATGAAAAGTTAGTGATTGAATTGTCCTGGAATAGGGGAAAATTACACAGTCTCATATGTTTCTGATGAGTGTTATTCTTGTTTTTTTAATGAAAGTTGCAGAATTTCAGGTGTCAACTTGAAAATGCCCCCATAGACTCAACTCAGTGACAGCCCACAGGCTTGAGTTATTGGAAAATTTATCTGCACTGGAAATTATGTAGGTAGATCCTGTGTTGTCACAAGTGAAGTATTTATGTGTGAGAAATAGAAAAAAAAACTTGTAGAATGAAATAAAGACCCAATAAAAATCTGAGTACAATTTATTTTTTCAAACAATTAAATGAGAAATTTCAACTGAGAAAATCATATCTAAAAACTATAGATATTTATAGAACTGTATTGTCAAATGGAAATGAGAAAACAGCACTCTCCAAGTACTGCTGACATGATGATAAAGAAATTTGCAGGTCAAAATATATTGTCTATTTTTGTAATAAGATACTTCTTTCTTCTTTTTTTTTTTTTTGTATTTGATGCAGGATCTACAGGGTCTCACAACACAGATCAAGCTAGTAGTGATCCTCCTGTTTACAGCCCCCCAAGCACTGGGATTACAGGCACAGGCTACCACACCCAGTCTCATTTACCATCTCAGTGCGCCCCAGGGGCAGGGCCAGCACAGCAGGCCAGGGATCAAACCCCTACCCCTGCATCTGCCTAAGCAGGTGCTTTAATCTGCTGAGCTATCTGGCTCACCCCAAACATTTTTTGTTTCATCCACTGAAATTCTGGTTTAGCAATCTGTGTGAGAACTTACAGATATATGGACTCTCAGCTGATTCAGTGACAGAGTTGGAAAAACTATCGTGTCTATGAATGACTTTCTCACTGAACCACTTTGTCCTTTTTTCCAAAGTTCCCTCTTCATGAACCATTTATATATAAAGAGCTATAATTTTATATGAGTAAATTGTTACATTAACCAAAGTGTACTTTAATTTTTAAATTTGTGCCACTTTCTTCATAACAGAAATACAGGTAAAAACTTCAGGGCTTTTAAAGTTAAGACTTCAGGGCTGGGGAGATAGCTCAGCAGTCTAAGCCCCTGCTTGGCAAGCACAAGGATCTGGGTTTGATTCCCTGGTACCATATGCCATGTCAGCCCCAGTACCATGGGCATGCCATGCCGGCCACCGAGCCCAGGTATGGTGGTGCACACCTGGAATCCCAGCCCTGGAGAGGCTGAGACAGGAGGATGACTATGAATTGGAGCTACATAGTGAGACCCTATAAGAAATAAATACATAAATAACTTTTAGACTTCAGATACTTCAACAAGATCTTCCAAAACTTTTTTTCTACTTTTTGTTAAGTCAAGAAGCCAGTAACTCGGACTACTTATTTTATAATTTGAAAATGTTATAATCAACACTCTGAACTAATGAACCTGCTGTACACTCAGCCACCTTAACCAAGGCTGTTTATTTCTTTGGGGCTATTGGAGAGTCGTTGACTTTGAAAGTAGAAGCAGGACTATTAGGGAAGTCGAAGAGAAGGATAAGAGAGGATATGGAAGGTGGGTGTGATCAACACATGTTCTATTCAGGCATGGACATGTCAGCAGGAAACACATTAATGTGCTCCCTTACAAAGCAATAATAACTGAAATAAAAATGTATGAGTAACAATTCCATAAGACCCTTAACAGATGAAATTTGTGGTCATGTATGTATTACTGACAGTATGGTCCAGCTTCACCAGTGTCAACTTCCCCGGAAACACTACAGAAGTGCAGAATCTCCAGCCAGCCACAGAGCTTCTTAGTCAGAACCTGCACTAGACAGTGTCCTTTGGTAATTCTCATGCAGATGAGTGCTTAAGACATTCTGTTACTAAGTACACTGGAAGAAACCTGCCCCTTTAGAGAGCACACCTCCCAAATTGGTGCACTAACCCATCAAGTCTAGGGAGAAAGCTACCTGATGTTGGAAATAACGTTCAAATTAACAAACCATTTTAACTGATTGGTGAATAAATGAAGATGCTTAACGAAGTGTCTTTAAATGAAACATGTCCATTCAGGCATTAATGTGTTTCCTGCTGACATGTCCATGCCTGAATAGAACATGTGTTGATCACACCCACCTTCCATATCCTCTCTTATCCTTCTCTTCGACTTCCCTAATAGTCCTGCTTCTACTTTCAAAGTCATGTTTACTCTTGACACTGAAGTAAGATATGTCATGCACTCACATGTATTATCTCAGAATAATCTAATGAAACTGAATTAATTTATTCCATATGTTCATTGATCCTGCCTTATGAGAACCCTTACAAATTGGAAAATGTTTTTCTTTCTAAACACTTATCTGGCAATGGGCCTGATAGTAAACTGTGGGCTGGACTTTCTAGCTGTACAAAACAATAGAAGAGAAAAGAAATTGTTTATGTAGATGTGAACTGAAATCTCATGGTTGCATAATCATATTCCCCCTACTGATGAATGACTAAAATTTCATGGACTATGTTCCACACTATAAAGGAAAGGAATCTGGGACACTCAGGGAAGTCTATTCATCTTTCTTCCTCTTCTCTGTCCTCCTGCCCATTTTAATTTCTCACAAAGTTTTCCCTAAGCTTTGGCTGGCGAACAACAATGTCTTAATTCACATAGTTGGATATAGATTAGAAGCTTTCTTGTAAATATTTTTTTTCCTCCCCCATCCAGATTAAAATCAGGACCAAAAAAGAAAAAAATAGCAAGTTTGACCTTTAAGAGCTACACTTCCAATTTCTCTTCCAACTCACGATGAAACTCCTGTTATCTAGGTTAAGAGACTATAAAGACTCAAGCCTTATCTATCACAAAACAGAAAGAACTCACAGGTTTGCAGTTCAGGGAGGCTTAAAAGGTTATGATGGATAGAACTGGAAAATACCAGCAAATTAAAGATCTTCCACTGTGGGGAGAAAAGCCAGTTATGAAAATGTAGAATACACTAACATAAAGTTTGAGAATTTGTTACAGCCAAACCAATGACCTCGCTTGTAAGTGATTGTTGTGATTTTGCTTTGCAGTGTGTATGTACAGAGAGCCATCACTACATGAAATTGGAGAAAAGCAAGGGCGTTCGAGGAAAAGCTCTGGGACACCAACCATGAATGGAGGCAAAGTCGTGAATCAAGATTCAACATAGCGGAGAACTCTTTCTTTTTTTCTTCCCTCCGTCATCCCTTCTCTTTCCTCCCCCTTCCCACTCCCGATTTCCTTCCGATATATTTCACCCAAGGAGAGAAAAATAAAATGCCAATGCAGGACCTAGTAGCTAAGATTCTGCACTAAAAATTCCCTTGTTCAGGACAAGAAAATTGAACCAAAGCTTGCCTGTTGCAATGTGGTAGAAAATTCACATGCACAAAGATTAGCACAATTAAAAGCAAAGGAAAAAAAAATAAATCAGGACTCCACGAGCAGTAATTTAAACTGTGTTGTTATTACTACAGGGCTAGCTGTAATGAATGTTTAAGTATAATAAAGATGAAATATAACTATTAAGGAAAGGGTCATGGAAAATGGAACTTAGAGATTGATGTTAGATTCTAGCTTGAACTAGATAATACTATGATATGTGGTTTTGTTTGACTTTATATTTCCTTTGGGCATCTGGAATTGACACAATTACATCCCATTTCCAGGATTATTTTTTAACCATAAAACTAAATATGTATGAATTATACTATTATAATGTGCTTATAGAACATGTAGCCAGGAACCATTTAATATCAAGAAGAGCTTAAAAATTACTCTTGAAACTGTGAAGATTTCTTTTGCGAATGAATACCTTATGTTGGATCTAATGGCAGTCAGTGATTCAGTTCCTTCATAAAAAGTTTCAGATTCTTGTAAGAGATGCCATGTTTTTATCAAAAATACAAATCTAGGATCTCATTTTGTTTTCAGTCATTTAGAAAAGAATTTATTGTCATAATTCTGAAGTAGCACTGGAGCATCCCAGGTCATTACCATGTTCAGGCAATGAAGTGTTAGTTACTCTGCCTTACACTTTGAGCTTTTTGCATGCTTTGCAGACTCACTTGAGACTACAGTGTGTCTGTCTAGCTGTCCAAGAGAGTTTTGCATCATATCTTGCAGAAGGACTAGAGAAAGATGGATTTTACATAAGAGAGTAAGTCTGAGGAAATGCGAAGAAAAATGGATTTGCCTTTGTGCTCTGCTTGAGTTCTGTGTACATAGGATTTCCAGACTCTGGGAAATCTGGAGGCATGGTTATGAAATTGCTTTCTGTCTTATGAAGCCAGTGGCTTTCTGTTGATTATATCCTCATGTGAAAGTCTAGTCGGGAGAAGGGTCCTAGTGACACAATGTATTTTTAAGGACAGGCAGACATTGTAGGGAATTAGCAACCAGGGGGGTAACAGAGCTGTGACAGTGGTCTGAAGTACTTAAAAGGAGCTCAGTATAGAGGCAAGCAAGCACAGATTAGGAATGCCATGGTATTAGCAAAATGCTGGCAAGAAACAAGTGTTATAAAATTAAATTAGCGTCAAAAGATCTATTTAGCCCTACAAATGAGGAATGGTGTAGAGACATCCAAATTCAAGCAAAATAAAACAACACAGAGTGTCTAAAATGTATGCAGATTTATGGGTATTATTCCTAAGAAGACTAGCATGTAACTTATCCTATATCTCTACTGTCCAGCATGTACTGTTCCAATTATGACTACCTAAAATATATACACTTCGCTGAAGCTCTAGGCCCTCACTTTAAACCTTGCCATTGGTCACTATCTTCTTTCAAGATGAACATAGTTTCATTCACGCCACGCAATCATTATTCTTCAACAGTGGTTTTTGTCCTTCACCAAGTATCCTACTTAATGTTAGCAGGAAGTTAGGAGAAAAAGAAATGGAATTGTTTGGCCAATAAGTTAGGAGAACAAACATTGTATACACACCTGGGTGGAGATTTTGAACATATATTTACAAGAGATACATGTTAAAGCACTTGGAAAATTATAAATAAGTACATTTATGTTAAAACAACATCAACAACAAAGAATCTTACTCTTCAAGGGAAAAAAAAGCCACCCTGGGGAAAAACTACCCTGGTGAAAAAGGAAGATCTGGATATGTTTTCCTTGTCACTTGATTCAACTAGATTATGAATACACTCATAACTTCCAGGAACAAATGAATCCCAACCACAACTCCTTCTTTTATTTGAAATGATCAAAAGAAACTTTAGTGGGCACAGGCCCTTCCAGCAGGAAATGAGTGGGGATTTGTGGTGATACACACCTACCCCAATGCAGCTGACGGCTTCACAACAGAGCTGATGGAACCCGTAATCATCAATTATACTTACATCTGATGGAATATATTTAATCTAGCTAATTCTGAAAAGATATGATTGAGACATGAATCCAACAAAACCTCTTCCTCTATTTTCAGTGGGTGTCTGTCATTTAAAATTTACACTCATATTTCTCTCCTTTGTGAGAATAATTAAGGCTCATTCAAGCTAGGTATATACTGCAATGGTAGAGCACTTTTTTTTAAAGCATACAGCAAACTCTGACTTTAATCCCAAGTACTCGGGGAAGAAAGGAATCTAACCACCCAAGCTATATGTTTTCTCATGATGTTAAGTAAATTTTCTCTGCAGAAAAATGCTTTGGAAATTTGTTTTATGTACAGCTCATTTCAGAGAATAAATTGGAAGCCTCATATTTATTTTACACATAATCTTGACAGAATTATGGTGTAGAACTTAGAATAAGTAAGTGTTCAACTGCAGCTCACTTTTTAAATGCATTTTGATTTTTAATAGGAAGAGTCAGTATTTGTTGTTTTTAAAATGTTCCTAATATAAACATGATTATCCAATTCCTTTAAAAAATGTGATTCAGTTTTAATGTTTTCTTTTTCAGGTTCATGATAATAATACACTTTACTTTGATTGTTATTGTTCTGATTTATGGGTCTTAAACTTACCTATCACATATTCTCTTTTAAAGGAAATAAATTATTTTTGAAATACATTGAAATATTCCCAGAAAAATCATGGTTTTTAGTACAGCTTTGATATTAGCTCTGGAAATACAAAGTGAGGCCTGGTTACTCTGAAAGTGTCCAGTGCCTTGTGTTTCAAAATGTGTACATTTGGAAATGAAAGCAAATTTTTAAGAGTCTCACAAAATAGCTTTCTGGTCCACATACTTTTATAAAGCTAGACTTCGGAGATGTAGAAGGAAAAGGTGCTGGTGTTCCACTTGTTTTAGAGGTTTTTGTTTTTCAGAGAACCAGAAGTAAGCCAACTGTCCCATCCTTGATCGTGTTAATAGTTTTGGCTTCGAAATATACACATGAAATTCATAACACGTATTTAACCGTCATGAATTGGCACAATAAAGAGACATCATATAATTCAATATGATTCTTTGGGGGCCTCTTTCTCATTCACAAATCACGTTTAAAGAACCTTGTAGTTGAGAAAATGACAACATTCTAGCTAGATAATCTAGATTGGTGGCCTTGAGGTGGCCACTAGTGAGAATGAGAGAATTAAAACGAGTAAAGGAAAAAGAATGGTCCAATTGTTGTGTATTAAAGGTTGAAGGTCCTAATTAGGGCCACTGGCTTCTTGGTGAAGAAGAATGACTATATTCACAGTAAGTGTTTTTAAACATAGTCTCAGAAATAGCAAATCTACTCTTTCCTCCTCATAGGCTTAGTCTACGAGGCCTTGCTCTTGAGAAAGTTTTCTATGATTTGCTTCATTTCATCTGCACAAGGTGAGACAGTCAAAGCTAAATGCCCTGTTCATTTTACCACCATTAAAGGCTGAGGTTATTTCTCTGTCATAAATTTGTAAATAGCATTTTTTAAGTCAGAATCACATTTAAAACAGTGGATTATTCTACAAATATATATGTGTATATATACATATGCTTCTGAGATGAGGATATATTACATAGAGTTTATATTTGATTTGTGGTCTTTAGTCGTAGGTAATCAAAATAAAGAGATTTGAATGCAAAACTTTATATATAAATGTATATTTCTAATGACAGTACAAGTTGTCACTTTATATTTAAAAAGAAATGTGGGAACAACAATCAAAGCACATACTCCGGGACTTTAGTGATTTCTAATCCCCTCTTTAATGCAGAGATAATTATTTTTATTTCTAAAACTTTATCTTAAAAAGCTATACGCCACATTACAGATTCTATAATAAATCATGTTGATTGAACATTTACGGTTGAGTATCTGGAAAACAAAGTTAAATATTGATCATTATTTATGAGGGTTTTTCTGGAGCCCAAGAATTCAGTATTTAAATCAAATCAAGTGAAACTTACTAATGTTTTGGGGATGATCTGTTGATCTTCAGTACTGAACAGACACCAAAATAAGAAATTACCATGATCATAGCATTAAAGTAATGCTATAAACATCACATCATTAAATGTTTTATTAGTTGGAAAGAATGAGCTGATGTTTCTTTACCTTTGCTCCAAGCACAATTTAAAGACAGTGACCTTCATTTTACACAAAGCTGCTCTAAAAGTCTTAAATATATTCCCACAAGTAGATTTGGTACCAGTTCCATTTCAAGGTTAAATGTTACAATCTTTAGAAATTATTGACACTGAAATGTTTAATGAATATGTTACATGAGAACCTAAGGAAGTTGATTCATTTTTGCATTAAAGCACAGGTTACTTAAATCATTGTTTTCTTTTGAGATCACATTTGTAAAATGTTTATACATCACAAATTTCCTGAAGTGAAAAGAAATTAAAGTCTTGAGATACTCATGCATGTAGACACTTTTTTTAAACATTAAACTTCTTTGAGAAGTCTCTCTTTTTTATGTGTGTCTATCCTACAATGCGCTTCTGAAAAATGTTGTCTTATATAAGAATGATCAAAGATGGATTTACAGATGGAACCTAGGTCGAATTTTATTGATCAGCCCAAAGTAAACATTATAAATCTGCTTTGTGGTAACATGGCATGTTGCTTTATGAGGATTGAGGGCTAGAATTTGTTCATTTTTCCTATTATTTATAATTTAACAAGTTGATACCTGGTTGAGCTTGGGAACCCTAAATGAAATTGCCACTCAAAAACCTAAGGAGAGCAAACATATGAACAAATAATGGAATGCTCAAAAGTTCATATTAAATAAATACATTACCAGGGTATATACACCCACCACTGACCATGAAAAAATAGATGGGGATTTTAAAGGAGACCATGTTTTTCTGTAATATAGGGCTCTAAAATAGAGAAAATAATTTGAATAGAAGGGATATATTCATGAGAACAATTTTTTTGGAAAAAGTTTATGAATCAAACACAAGAAAATCTTCAGAAGAATAAATAGCAAAAGCTGAGTTGAGATAAACACAGGTCAGAGTTTGCTCCCAACTTTGCCAATGCACTCTTGAGATTTGTTTGAATCTTATTAGTGCGCTTCTGACTGCTAACAAAAAAGTCCCCAAACTGATTCTCTGTTCAGAGGTTTCTGATATTGTCACTGAGTTGAGTTCTCTCAGCTTTCTTGACCTTCATGTAAAATAACTGCCCTCTTTAGAGTCAGAAGTTAATTTGGAAATTGCAGGCACCCTGCGTAAACCTCATGTCTCACTGGTTCAATCTGGATCAGGTATGCAAGCTTTAGTGAATCAGGATGGCCAGGATTGTGAGCTACAATGACAGTTTAAGCCAACAGGAGCCTTTTGCAAGACCAGAGGGTTAGCTGTCATTACCCAGTGAGCCAGGAAACCTGGCCACTGCTGACTGCCTGCTGTGCAGACAGCAATGTGTGGGTCACTGAAAACGAGAAAAGCACAACTTTAAAGAAAAGTAATTCTTGCTCAGCCAATCTAGTTAAAGGGTTTGTCTGTTCAAGAATCACAATAATGTCTACAGTACAGTCAATTAGCTGGGGCGGGGGATTCTTACACAGCTAAGTGTGGAAATGGATTCCTATATTTAAAAAAAGATGACGTAGAACTGAAGCAGCAAGAGAGAAAATAGGCGTGGTAAGACAGGATCACCCCTATTTTACCTGAGAGATTTTGAGGGATACGTTCTATAAAAGAAAAACCACTACTTTGCACCATAACTCAACAAATCTGAACTGTCAATTGGTTTTAGAAGACCACCACAGATGGAGCTAGAAAGTGGAACCTGGGTCTTCTAACCCAGAAGCTTGTGCACAATGAATTTGTCGGTATCTACCAAAGCATTGCTATGATAAATTCATCAGAAAATCCTTCTCAAAACATCATGTCAATTAATAATTTAGGTTCTAAATTAAATTCAGGGCTATCTCAGTAAGCCATAAATGTTTTTCTTGAATCTCCTCTCCAAATAATATCATACATTTGAACACTTTAGCTGATGAGAAATCAACCCCTCAAAGGAGCGTATTCCACTTGTGTGCAGCACTGGTTTTATATTTATAGTAACATCAAATCTGTGGATAATCCTCAAAAAAAAAAAATGGTTGATTTTCCACTGACTTCCATCTTTGACTTTTGCAGGTAAACTAACACATTTCATCTGAAAGTAGTAGGCAACCTCTCAACACAAGTTTTCGCTATTATTTTTCTTAAGAGCTTAAAACATTGGCAGTATCTTATTATTTTTCTAACCCTTCTTGACAAACTTTCCTAAAAGGCAGTCTCACACACAGATGAGGCTGTATCTCTAACAGTCATATGCATGTGTTATCCCTGCCTACCAATTGCACTTTGCTGTTCTTACAAATATGCCTCTGAACCAGAGAAGCGGGCACTCATGCACACACACACATGCGCGTGCGCACACACACACACAACACACACACAGAGCAAGAGGAAGTCTTCATTGTATAAAGTGCATGTTATACACACTTGGCCTCTCTCATCCCTATTTTCATTTCTTCCTCTTTTTGGTCCGTTTTCAGATTGCTCTACTGCACGGTCAGCTGGCTTAGCTGTGAACTAGTTTTTAACTTTTCCTAGGCTTTGTTGTTGGTTTTTTTTTCATTACTGTTGTGCCTGTAGCTCCATCTCAAAAATGCACTGAATCTAAAATTGCTTAGCATATCATCTTCTTCATGGAGAAAACATTAGATTCAATAATCTGGGAGACTTGTAAAAATGTATCAACAAGTCTAAATGCCGGTGTTTCAAATATTACTTGGGCCATTACAACACATCAGGGCTGAAGCACAGTCCCACTTGCACATATCATCAAACTTAAGACAAAGGAAAAAGGCAGACAGAGAAGCACAGTTGGTAACCCCATTTGGAAACTGCCTTCCTCAGGAACCAGCAGCTTGTGTTCCGCTGACAAAGCTGATGTTCTGTCAGTATGGCAGAAAGAGGAACGCATATCAGGTAAGGAATCAGAAGGTCTTGTCACACAATGCGGGCACCCCTTTGAGGGTTACACTGGATATAACCTTATCCCTTTCATCCAGCACATTGTGCGGCTTTGGGAACTGACTTCACTGATAGCAGCATTGTACTATGAAATCACCCCTCTAGGATAATTGCTTCTCTAAAAACCTGAACATTTTCATTCCTGATCTCCAGTATAACAGGGAAAGCAAACTATTTATAAACAATAGGCTGTGCTGAGGAGATAGCTCGGTGGCTTAAGTGTCTGCCTGGTAAGTGCAAGGTCCCAAGTTTGATCCCTGGTACCGCATGTTGTGTGGCCTTGAAACCCCAGGAGCACCAGTAATCCCAGCTCTAGGGAGGCTGAGACAGGAGAATCACTATGAGCCTGAACTGTGTTGCAAGATTCTGTATCAAAACAACAACAATAAAATAATAATTTTTCAAAAATTTATAAACAATATGC